CTCTACATACATTTAAAATCTGCTAGAACTTTAGTAACGTGCACACTTTTAGAAATTATTGAAATAGGTATATTTTATTAGAAATATGCTTAAGCTAAAGCATATTTTTGAGTCTCTTTTTACTATTTGCTTAAGCATATTCGAACCTATTTCAAAAATTTCATATGCTTTAAAAAAAACAAACATGTATATTCCTACCCATCATTCTTATTTTTACTATACGTAATGAGTTCAAAAAACATCGTTATATATATTTATTATGGCACGTTTCGTAAGTTTATTTCCGTAAAGAATTCTTTCGTATGTTGTGATCCGAAATACATTCGTTTCGAAAGAAATTTTATTTTTTATCAATATTTCTAAAAATAAAACCATAAAAATTTAATATGTTATTATACTGAAAATAAAAATTCATTATAAACATTTTGGGATTTAAAGATGTTAATTTTTACAATTAAAATCAGTCTGGCAAACAAATTTTCTTTATAGACTTCAAAACGTCGTTTGGCGAAAATGTTTGTTTCGCAAGTGCGAATTCCGAGACCGCTACTTTCGTATGTTGCAAAATAGTTTTGTTTCGTATCTCAACTTGCAAAATGCTAAATTTTGAAAGTAACTTTTGCAAAATGAACATCAGCAATTTTAAATGTTTTGTAACATTCGGTACGAAAAAATGTAATTCCTCGTTCTCAATCTCCTTACGAAAGAATGTTGTTTTTCCGGAATTGCACAAAATCCTCCGGTTAACAACCCTAATATATATATATATATATATATATATATATACATATATATACATATATATATATATATATATATATATATATATATATATATATATATATATATATATATGTATATATATACATATATATATACATATATATATATATATATATATATATATATATATATATATATATATATATATATATATATATATATATATATATATATATATATATATATATATATATGTATATATATATATATATACATGTATGTATATATATATATATATATATATATATATATATATATATATATATATATATATATACTCTATATTGTAGTAGTTTTAACGACAGAACAAAATTATAAAAGTTTATGTTATCGACAGAGACAAAAGATTTTTATCTGAACTTTAAAAAAAAAAAAAATTTATATGAGTGCTTCATTTATTCTATTATTTTCTAAACTTTTTTTTTTTTTATCTTAAAGAAATGTTTTTTGTATATACTTTTGGACATAAATAAATGAGTAATAATGCTTTATTCATGCAAATCATTTTTTTAAATTTTCATTCAAAATATTTTTTTTAGTGTTGATCTTATACCCATAATGTTATATATGTTAAAAAATATACTAATGATTCCCTTCTTTCTACAGTCAAAAAAAACTTTTTTTTTTTAGTCTGTTGGTGCTTTTTTGTGTTACTTCATTGTTATGGGTGAAAATGGATTCCGACCTATATATTTACTTGGCCTAAGAAATGATTGGGATGATAAAACTAACAATAATCTTCTTGATTCCTATGGAAGTGAATGGAGTTATCATCAACGCAAAGAGCTGGAGTATACAGTTTATTCAGCCTATTTTACTGCCATTGTTGTTTCACAATTTGGTGATCTTTTTGCCAGTAAGACACGGCGACTGTCTCTATTTCAACATGGAATAAGGTTACTTTGTTAAAACTGTTAAAAATTTAAAAAAATATAATAACAATTTTAAATAAATTTATTTATTTTTTTTTTATTTTTTTTAGTAATTGGGTTATATTCTTTGCGATATTTTTGGAGACAGCTTTAGCTTCAATTGCCCAGTATACACCTGGATTGAATACTGCTTTGACATTGCGTCCAATTAGATTTGTTTATTGGTTGCCTGGTTTACCGTATGGCTTATTAATACTTGTTGTAGACGAACTAAGAAAGTTAATTATAAGTCGTAATCCAGGAGGTATGTATTAAACATATAGAGAGATTTTTTTTCTTTTGTTCTTGTCCTTAGAAATAATTCTTATAATGTTTGTTTCTAAACAACCTTTTTTAATTTTTGAGGTGTCTAGTTTTATACCTGTAAGAAACGAATAAAAGAATTAAAAAATGAAGTTTAATGCTTAAAAATAAAAAGAAACAAATAAAAATGAAAAAAAATAAAATAAGAAAAAAACGTTAAAGTTAGTGAAAGGCAATTAGAGTAAAAAATATTATAATTTAAAAGTAAAAAAGAAAATAAGATTTTTATAAATTTTACTTATAGTTTGAATTAATTTTTTGTAGAGATCTGTAGAGATTTTGTATTTATCTTTTACTAAGTGATATTAATTGTGTTAGTTGCTTGTTAAGGAAGTTTTGAGTGAAAATTTGGAAAAAAATGGAATAATGATTTAAATGTTAAATTATTGTAAGTGGAATACAGTTTGCTCATTAATGAACAAGCTTTAGCTAAATCCACTTATAACAATTTAACATATAAATCAGCATTCTAACTTTTTTTAAACTGTAGTGGTTACTGCTTATTATTTTAAATCTAATGCAAGATACAGAGAAAGTACTAAAAAGTTGAGTGCAGTTATAAAATTGAAAAGACAAACAAACTTTATTTAGTGTTACTTTCAGCGAGTACTAATTAAAGTTGTATAACAATAAATAAAGCAAGACCTTTTGGACATAAAAGCTAACTGCAATTATTATTGTCATTTTTAAATTTAACTTCGGTGTTTCCACAAAAAATTCATTTTCGTACGTAAACTACTCCAATAAACTACTTCTACTCTTCGCGCAGATGCCTAATAATAGTTTATTAGATATTATTAATAGTTTATTGTTCTTGATTTCTCATTATTTATTTTTTTATTTTTTTATTTTTTTATTTTTTTGCAACCTAGTTAATAGTTCATTGTCATTGAATGCTTTTGAATAAAAACAGTGATCGTGGATCTTTTTTGGGTTGAACGTAAGACTCTTTAATAAACATGGTTTTTATAACACCATATAAGTATGATGGTATGAACAATATTAGACAAAAAAGACTTGAAAGTCAAAAATTAGTAAAATGGGGTGAAAGTCAGAAATTAGTTATACGTCGCTAGTCTACAACAAAGTATTATTTTCTGGCGGTGGTAGTTGTGTTAGACAAACTTTGTAGTCGAGTAATAATTAATTAATAATTAATTTCTGAAAAAGAAATAAACTTGAGAAAATTGTATTTTAAATTTCTTTTTAAAAACAACCTTTAAATACTGTTTTTTACTTGGTTTGTTTAGGTTGGATGGAAAAAGAAGCATATTATTAGATGGCATTTTTTTCTAACAAGTCGATTTTTTAAAGTAAAGTTATGTACATTTATGTTCAAAGTTTATTCGCTCTTGTTTTTACGTTAATTGGTTTAATTTGAAGTTGTTATATTAATGTCTATTACAGTAGACTTTTTGTACCAACTTTAATTTGTTTCCTACATAAAACACCAGTAATAAATTTTTTCTGTAGTTTTAAGTGCATACGCTGTTTTTTCACTTTTATTATACAATAAGTCGATTTAATTATTGGACAAAAAATCTTTTTTAGGTTCTTTGTTTAATACTCTGCATTATACTAGTTAAGTGATTGTTAGGTCAATTTTTGTTTGTTCGTGTTTTTGTTGCATTTTCTGTTTGTGTGCGTTTTACGTTATTTTTTTCTTGTTATAACTATTAATATTATTATTTCTATTTGTATTATTAAATATTATTCTTTATTATAAGATGTTATATTGCGTTGCTTTTAGTTTGTTTGATGTTTTTTGTGTCGTTTTTTTTTTAAACAATAGTTTTATGCTACTTTTATTACGCCATTATTTTTATTTACAATTTTGCATTTTTATAATATATATTTATTCTTGTATTATATTTACTTTGGTATATTATTTTTATTATGAATATTACATTTTTAATCTTATACGTTGTGTTGTATAATTGAACCCGTCATTTCGAAAAGGGCACAAGTCCATTTATTCAAACTTTTCAGGAGCAACAAAAATAAATTTATAAGAAAAAAAGTTTATGGTGCTAAAGAAACTGAATATAAGAAGCTCCTCGCTTTATATAAAATTCTTATGCTTTTCGATATTGTACTACTCAAATTTTGTATGTGATAATTCCAAGTCAGATTTTCATCAATATAAATACCCAAAATATTTGGTTACTGAGACTTTTTTTAAAACTATGTTGTTAAAAAAAAGGAGGTGACATATCATTTGGCATAAAATATTTTTGTGATAAGAATGGAAAAAAATCAATTTTGTTTTAATAATTATTATTTTTCTTAGACCAATCAGAAACTCTCACTAGTTCTTTATTCATATTATGAAAAAGTAATGTGAGATAAAAATAAGTTCATGTCGTTTTCAAACATAATTGTCGTTAAACTTGAGGCTTTATGGAGATTGTTAACGTAAATAAGTAAGAAAAGTGGTCCTATTATAGAATTGCGAGTAACTCCACAAGTTATATTAAGCAAATTTAATGGTGATAACATATCTATGTATACAAATTACTTTCGTTTATTTATATAGCTTTTAAGCTAATTTATAACATTACGACATATATCGTAAACCTTTAGTTTAATTAAAAGAACTTTTGATCAATTGTACCGAAAGCTTTGGCTAAGTTGATAAAAACCCCAACTGTCTATTAGGAACTTTAGAAAGAGTTAGTCATACCTCTAGTAAACTGGAGAATTGCGTGCTCTTTTAAGTTATTTAATTTTAAATCCATATTGATTGTTATATATTAAATTGTTTCGAGATAAATGACTTTTGAACATACGGATAAAATAGATATAGAACGATAGTATCTAACATTAGTTAAATCTCCCTTTAAATATAGAAATCACCTTCGCTAATTTTAGCTGGTTAGGAAAGATTTCTTGCCTAAGAGAACGAAAAAAAATCTTTAAAAGTATATCTTTTATTACTCCAAATGATTTAATAACAATATTTACATTGATATTATCCGCACCAATTGATTTATTTAGTTGTAGCATTTTAAAGGCGCATTCAAACCCTTCAAAAATAAGTTTAAATGAATTAAACTATGACGTGTTAAGAATTATTACATTGCCTAATGGATTCACTGCTTGAGGAATTTCTTTAGATAAATTTGATCCAACAGAAATAAAGTATTTGTTTAGCTCATTAGCTATCTCTTCTTGATCGTAAAAAAATTTATCATTTATTTTAATGATTATAGCCAATGTAAATGTTTTTATTTTAAAGCTGCCTGTGATTTCCTTGATAACTTCTTAAGTGCGCTTAAATTTAATTTATATTTTTCAAGTAAATAATTGTAATAATTTTGCTTAAGATTTTTTCTTTTACGTTGAAATTATTTAGCGTAAGTTTTATATATAGCTTTAAGTTTATTAGTTTTTAGTTTTAGAAATTTAATTTGCAATTTTTGTTTGATTTTAAAAGATTTTCTTACATCCTTAGTAATCCATGGAGATTTTAAATTTTTTAAATTGCAATTTATTTTAATTTTTGTAAAGTTGACATCATATATATCAAATAAAGTTTTAAAAAAGTGTCGTGTAAAAAGTCAGAGTGCATCATCCAAATGGCTAATGTGCCCCCAATGAATAAGAGACAATTGCTAATTAAATGATTTCAAATTCTTTTTATTGAAAATAAAATTTCATAAGGTAACGGTCCGAATTTCAAAGTAATCGGTAACGCTTTGAGGTATAAGTAGTAAAAAACTGACAAAACTTCAACTAAAAATGCAATAAATCCTACACTAGTCATCCAATCAGACTGAAATTTTGTCCAGAGTTTGGAATGACTATTGGCTACATTTGCACCAATTTTTATTAAATTATATTGAGTGGTTCAAATTCTACAAGTGTTTTTATTGGCGTACTATGAAGTCAAAATTTGACTTAATTTGAACATTCAAATTAAATTATTTCCTGCGGACAAAATTAAATGATTTCAAAAAACTTACATACTTAGATGTGTACGCTGACTTTCCGTATAAGTGGCGTTCTTGGGACAGCTAGGTAGGCATTATAAGGATCCGTACTAACCGTGTTTACGTACAGATTTTGGTGTGTGAGTGGGGGAGGGGGAAGTGGAGGCTGGAGAAGCCACATCCATTATTTCGCTGGAGGGCCAGAATGACCCAAAGATTATTGTGATCAGCAAAATTTTGAACTGATCAAAATATGGAAATGAAATCCCAATGAAATTTTAGTTTCATTTGATATAGTTAATTTGTATTCGTCCTTACCCATTAACAAAGCTATTGGAGTTATTTTTGATAAATTGAGTAATAACATCAACGACTTAGTGAATGTAGACATTCACCAAAAAGCGTAAAATACACCAACATTTGGTAATTTGGTTTTTAAACACAATTACGCCATCGTATGAGCATTTACTTACTTCTACACAATCTTTTAGACTATTCGGAAGTACCTCAGTACAAACTAATTTTTATTATATTAACAAATAAGATTCAGCAGTTTTATATGCGAGAAACAAGATTTTAGTGATTGTATTCGACTAAAAAAAATTTTTATTGATTATATTTTTAGTGATATGTATTTAAAAAATTATGAATATTGTTGTTTCCACGAGTCAGCGGTTCGGAAGACTGATTGATGTCAGATTAATTGCAAATAAACGCCATACCAAAAAAAGAAAAAAGTAAAAAAGTTACTAACTTTTTCTAGAGCGGTTTTCTTCGGCACGACCTGATAATCGTTCTTTATTTTTTGTAATGCAAAAAGAATGTAATAAATAATAAAAAAAATCTTGTTGTAAAAGAAAAACAAAAAGAAAAGAAAAAAAAGCTTATAATCATTTTGTTGAACATTATCCAAACTGCAGTGTGGAGACTTTATTCTAAATTTAAACTAATATGAAATAGATTTAAACGTGTGAAGATATGCTAACAACAATGAAAGGACTAATAATGGAAAAAAAAAAAACATTAATGCTAATGTGTAAACATAATTAGTGTAGTGATAAGTAATAAACATCTCCTCAGAGTCGCGTCTATTATTACTGGCGTTTCGATGAGGATCAGCATTTATAACTAGTTGATTATTATACTGCAGATTATTTTAGAGAAGAGGAGTTAAATTTAACGTTAACTTTTACACACAGCCCTAGAGAATCATTCGATTTTTGTTGGATTATGTACCATAAAATTATGTACAAATATGATTATGTACATTAAAATTGTAAATATTTTATACAGTTGTAAGGAACAGTGATAATAATTAATTTAGTTGATTGCCGTTTAAAATTTTCCTAAAGCACTTTTATAATTTTAATGACAATTTTCTATATTAAATATATATAATAAATTTTAGTAACGGGATATAACTAAAAAACGGTGATAACTTTAAAGGAGAAAACTCCCTTGGTTAATTAGATAAAAACTTAACTTTAAAAAAAAAAAAAAAAATTAGTTTTGGTGGGCAATTTATTTGCAAATTAATTTTTTTCAATCAAACTATTGCGTCTTACATAGTCTCATCAGCGCCGAGTTGACTTAGAAAAGCGCTATACAAGAGATTTTTCCATTTTAGAAAAGCAATACTTTATTCTATTGCGCAAATTCTCGAGATTATCAGCTTTTCAATTACCCTTATACACTTTTCCTTTGAAAGTACTCCAAAAATCCTTAATCGGACGACATTCGGGTACATTTGCAGGGTTAACTGCTCCTTTAACAAAAATGATCTTTTTCTCATTCATGTAGTTTTGTACAGATTTTGCGAAATGAGACGATGCCATATCAGGCCAAAATATTGAATATTGGCGAAGATATTCTTTAATGGGAAACGCAAATCCAAACGAGTAATTTCTTTTCATATTTTGCAGTAAGGTTAAATTTGACACTTGTTAGTTTTTGAGAAACATCACTTGAATAATAAATATAATTTCCATTAGTCAAAGAGTGATTAAATGTGAAGTACGACTCGTCGTCATGGATTTTGATACAGCCAACCGCACTTCGATAATTCTGTCTCTATTTGGTCACAAGTTCTTAATGAAATCTTTTTTTTCTTCTTTGGCCTGATTAAGGACTTTGTTTTTAATGTTTTGTTGATATATACTTGGGTGCATTTTAATTTCTGAGTGTTTGCAAAATACCGTCTTTGTGATCAAACATTGTTTCAAGTCTTTTGATGTTCCTTTTTGTCATTATTTTAGTAATCCTACCACTCCCAGGGACTCTTTGGTGTCTAGAATTAATTTCAGCGCGGCGAATAATGGTATAAATGGTGTTAATAGGAATTTTTTTTAGCAAGAAAGTGATTAGCTGTAAACTTTTTCCCTTTTGATTTTTCAAATAGAAGCTGTACAAACGTTCTCAGCGGGCTTCTTATTTTTACTTCATTTTTCTCCATTACAAATTATTTTAGTTTAAAATTAAAGAAGTTTTGAAGAGAGTTGAAAATGCGATAAACGAGGTAAGATTGTAACCATAATTAATATAAAGTATGTTACATAATTTTGTCTTTATAAGTCATTACCGTTTTTTAGTTTTAACCCGCTATTATGAAATTTTGTCAATAAAACTTTAAAAATGCTTTAGAACATTTTATTGACAATTTTTAATTAGGATTGGCATTTTTACCAGCCTTGCCAACAAAAAATTTATTAGCATCATAATATCACTAGAGTAAAAGCATAATGAAACGGCTTGTACAATTGAACAACTTATGTATTATGAACTGTTTTTTAAGGGAAAATTATTTTGAATTTTTTTTACAGTATGGTATAGAATTTTTCGCTGTAGCGAATTAGCTAGCTAATTTGAAAAATTTTCACAGTAAAATAAGACTCCGAATGACAAGAAATGTTTATTGCGATTGACCGGTACCGAAATACACCTTTCTATCAATGGTGGTGCGAGTAGAGAGAGCTGCATTGAGCTAAAGTTTTTTTTCCATTTAAAATCTAATCTGTCTATTTGACGTATGGTTAGATTTTATTCAAGCTAATACTTTTCAAAAAAAAAAGTCTCAAAATTGTCAGTATTATTATTTTGAGTTTTAATCAAAAAAGAAACCTATTCGTTAATTTTATGGGATACAAAGATTTTAAACTCTTTTATTTCCTAAAACACTTCGAAACCTTTAATTAAAATTCACTCGACAAGATCAGTAATAAAGACACTCAAACTTCGCAGGAGTTCGAAATGAGACACTCAAACTTTGCAGGAGTTCGATTATAACGGGTTGTTTTTCATTTTAAAGTAAAAAAATATTAAAAAAAGTTACATTAAAAAAAGTTAAAAAAATAAACAAGTTTATTGAACACAAGATTATTCAATTCTTTTGATTTACAAAGTTTTAAGAATTAACATTTATATTATATATTAATGTATATAATATTATTATATAATAATGTATAATGCAAAAATTATTTTATATATGGATTTAAAAAAACGTGATAATTTTTTTTAAACCAAGCAATCTTTAAACGGTATTATAGGTTTAAAAAAAAATTATATTCTATATTTAACAATCATTAACAATAATTGGGTCAGGGTTTGACCACCAGTAGACGATTTAACAAAAGTATTGTCATCATCGACATCATCGACGTATTCTTTTTCAAACAAATACTCTAAATATTTAGCAACGTAGGATTGATCAAGAATTTCACCTGCAAAGAAAGAATAAAAGTAAAAATAGTATTACAATTTTGCAATGAAAAATTAAAGTTCAAATCTCACCATTTTCAAATAGACCATCTTTAAATCTTCGAAGACACAAGTTAAGTATATCCATTGTAGAAAAGTGTTCGCCTAAAAGATGAACCGTAAATATTATAAGTTTAAATAACAACTGCCTCAAATCCAACTTTTTTTTATTTTAAATTGCATACCTGTTTTTTTAATATGAATAAGATTGGTTATTAAATACGCTATTTCAATAAACGGAATTACGCATGCTCGCCAATTTGATAATATCTGAATGTTGCTTTCACTTGGTATTAACTAAGAAATAAGTTTAATTATATTTAAGATATAATGTTTTATTCGATTTCAATTCGCGTTTAAACGGCTACAAGCCATTTGGCTTCAAACTATATTTGCTCCAGGCTCAAAGATTTTTTAGAAACGGAGGATAAACAAACCTTTAGTTTTTAAAGCCGGTGTAAGAGGTACAAAGTACTTAACCGGTACGGATCACCGTCAGAAAATCTTGATGGTACAAATTGATTGACAAGCCATTCCTATCTAGATGCCGAGCATCTACTTAGATAACGAACACTTAACGTTGCAAATGTAGTAAAACGAAGCAAAAAATGCAGTAAAGTTAGCGAAATAAGAAATTTGTTTACTAGCCATATTAAAAAAAAGAAATTCAAAAATATAAAATCACACGTTAAAAGTTTAGTATTTAAGACACATTTTTGTAATAGGTAATTCCACGTCAATAGTCCAGAGATCACCACGAGACAATCTCAGATTTAGATAAAACTTTGTCAGTGTGTTGTTAAATATGTTTTATGAAGATTGCCAAATTTTCTGATCATAATGTTTATTATTTCGGGTTTATAGGCACACCCAAAACACTTTTAAAGGCATACCTAAACTTTGATTAGATTATATTAGATACAAGTTTTATATCGTGCCTACATTTTTGTTTATGGTTCGTGAACTGACGTCAAAAATTCAACGTATATTTTTTATGAATTTTTTGTAGGGTCATATCCTAAAAAAAAAATTTTTTTTGTTTGAATGTTCTAAATACTAACATAATGATATGAAGTAAAAATGAGCTCTTTTATAAGTGTCTATGATAAGGTATTCTGAAATGATAATGGCGCCACAACTAAAAAAACTTAAAACTGTTTATTACGTATTTGAACCTCAATGTAAGCAGAATTTTTAATTTTTTTTTTGCACTATTGGCAAGTGCTTACTTTGCACTACTAGAAACAACAAAAATCATTTTGGAGAGATTTGAGAGATCTTTTTAACTTTTTGTGCTAACTTAAAGATCAACAAGCATGGTGCAGGATTTTATTATTTTATCTAGGAAATTTTAGAAATTTTTAATCTAAGAAAATTTTTGTTTAATAGTTTGTATTAAATTTTAAATTTTTATTTTTAAAATCTGGAAAAAAATTGGTGATTTCGCTAATTTAACCGCAATCATTAAAGATTTATAATATTACATCAAAACTAGGCTTCAAATTTGGAATTAATGTCTAAAACAACAATAGATGATAATTGATTGGATCTGGGATAACTGCAATAACATGCTGCTCCGGTACCCAACATGAGTTCATGCTGCTAAGTTTACTTAGCAGTATGAACTCATGTCAATGTTACTACTCCACCAATGTGCTTCATAAATACATGCAACAAAATTGTTCCTCTCGAGTGCCTTTTACACTGTTCACTCCATCACTGGAAACGTAAATAAAGTAATACCTGCCACACTTTCCTTGCAAAAATCATATAAACTAAAGGGATTTAAAATTTGATTATTGATTGGTTATTGAAGACTGGCAAGTGCTTCTAAACTCTTTTCCAACTCCTTTGCTAGGATATTTTCGATGACTAGTTGCAAAGAAATTCAACTTTGCATTTATGCCATATTCAGTATAATGAATATATAGTCGGTATGAAGTATAACATGAATTCATAAAATATTTGAAGTTTTTGTATTGTGCAGCTGACCGATCATAAATAAATTTAATAAAATGATGCATGAAATCACTGATAACACACTAACATTTATTTTGAATTACATCATTCAATTTGTTAATAGACATCAAAAGAATGCAAGGTTGCTTGGCTGTTTTCCCAGTAAAATCTCTACCAGCATCTTGCACAACAAAGGAATAATTTTCAGAAGAATTCATCAAACCAATTAACTCATTTGAACTATGTTCATTTTTCAATGATCCCAAATAGATGCTTTGGTTTTTAGCAATAAAACGATTCTGAGATAAAACTGACACTTTTAAAGTATCCATGAAGTATTCAACTAGAAATTGTAGGATTCAAGAGCTACACAATCTGTTTTTATTCATTACTTAAAAGTTAACGTTTTTTCTGATTCAAAGTCTTTAAACTGCTCTTCAAGATAAGTTCTTAACACTTTAGTTCTTGGACACTTCCCATCAATGCTTAAAAGTGCTGCTACAGGAAGTAACCTCTTTTAACTACTCCAGGTCAGATTCAGGATCATCACGATCACCCTGCTACTGGTACCATGTAACCCAATACTATCTGTCCCATGCTTTTGTGACTTTTAGGGTTTGGATTTTTCATTCTCATGCATTAAGGTTCTTGGTTGAGTAAAGGCTAAAGGTAGTGTCTCAATAAAAATCCTCATCTTGGGCAGATTCATCAACAGCTAGTAAATATAAGAGTATTAACATTGCTATGTTGCGCATGGATAGTGTCCATGTTAATGTTGTTGGTGGGCATTTTCAAGGTCACATAAGGAGCCTAAGTTACAATTTTAAATTAATTAGCAGCATTGAGACAACTGATTAGCTCATTACTGAGGATACTGTGCTTATAAATCATGCCAAAAGTAACCCAAAATTTTAAACATAAAAACCCATCCCCACCACCTAACTGCTTTAATATATAATTTACAAATATTTGTGGTCTGGGAAATAACCTTCCGTCAGTTAAATCTCGCATCTTGCGAAAATCATTAGACTTGTTTGCTTTTTGTGAAACCAACTTAAAATCCATCGTTCCTTTTTTAGATCTCAGTGTTGATGGGTACTACCCTTTGATTTACAAAGACTCCATTAGTCACATGCTTTGCTTACGGGTATACATTTGCATCAATTTGCTTATTTGTCATGAAATCAGGTTTAAATTTTTTGACCATTCTTTTATGTGCTTTCGCATAGCACTTCTACACTCTATCACCTTTCGCATAGCACTTCTACACTCTATCACCTTTCGCATAGCACTTCTACACTCTATCACCTTTCGCATAGCACTTCTACACTCTATCACCTTTCGCATAGCACTTCTACACTCTATCACCTTTCGCATAGCACTTCTACACTCTATCACCTTTCGCATAGCACTTCTACACTCTATCACCTTTCGCATAGCACTTCTACACTCTATCACCTTTCGCATAGCACTTCTACACTCTATCACCTTTCTGTTTGCTCTTTATTGTTCTTCTTCTTAAGACTCAAGACTTTTAGATTTTTTTCTGATCAAAATGACTATGCCCTTTTTCTCTACCCTTCTGCTAATTTTGTTGTTATTGGAGACTTAATAATCTCTACAAATCTTTCACCTTATACTTCTTCTTCTAGCTTGCCCTATCATTGAACTACTTACTACTACTTTAGGGACCTTCCATGATTTTCTTCGTGACAGTTCTTGGGCTGATGTCTTTTCTCACTACATAACCTCCTAGATCAAGGCAGAAATGGAAGCTTTTATTCCTTCTCATCAGTTCCAAGTCAAGCCTCATTCTACTCCATGTTTTTCATTTTCTTGTGCAGCTGATTATAATCATTTTTTTCATGTTTTTCAAAAGAACAACTCTCTTAAGAACCAATGTCTGCTTATTATTGCCAGAAACTGTTGCAAAAAGGTGTTGTCTGATGCTAAGCTCTATTATTCCTAGTTCACTAAATCTTGTATCTTATCTCAGAAGTAAGGCTCAAGATACTTTTGGAAAACCTTCAACAGCGTCTTTACCAAAAGTAGGCCTAATATTCCATCTCTCATTCATGGGACTGATCTTATTACCTCTCCCAAAGATAAGGTAGAATTATTTGCAAAAAACTTTTCTTCCAATTAGACTCTTGAATCTTATGGTCTTTCTCTTCCTTCCATTAGAGTTAAACAGGTTAATCCACTGTTTGACATCCAGCTTCTGTTGTTAAAGTTATATCTTAATTAAACACTTCTACGGTTTGTGGTCCAGACAACATTCTTGTCATAGCCTTACAAAATCATACTTCAGAATCTGGATCATTCTGACCCCTCAGAATGATCTCCAGATCTAGAGATTATTCTGACCCCTCTAACTATTGTTCGATCAGCCTTCTACCTGTTATTAGCAAGGTCTTTGAGTTTTTAATCAATAAATTTAAAACATCCTACCGTGAGTTAAATAACTTACTGTCAAACAATCATTACAGTTTTTGACTTATTTCCTCTATGACTGATTTATTAACTGCTGTGACTGAAAAATTTTGTTGCGCATTAGATGGAGACGGCGAGGCTAGGACTATTGCTCTTGAAATATCTAAAGCTTTCGATAAAGTTTGGCATACTGGTCTTCTTCATAAGCCTGCCTTATATGATGTATTTGAGAAAGTTTTTGAGATTATTAAATCTTTTCTTACTAACCGCTTTATTAAAGTCATCTTCGAAAGCCAACACTCATTTATTTCCAGTAACTTCTGGGGTACCTCAAGGTTCTATCCTTGGACCTGTTTTGTTTCTTATCTAGATCATTGATCTTCCTGACAAACTTTCATCTAAAGTGACTCTATTTGCTGATGACTCAACTTTAGACTCTTGTCTTGACAAAACGTCTTCTCTTTTCGATCAATTATAACATAAAGCTGATCTTGAATCAAACTGTTACAGAAATGAGATCATTTCTGTAACAGATAGGAGCTCGCAGTGGCTTGTAAATTTTAACTTCAATAAAACTCAGTTATTTACGGCAGTTATTTACAACAATTGCTATACTGTTGACATTCCAATATTGATGAATCGCTACCCTCTCACTGAGTTCTCTTCTTTATATCTTCTTGGATTATTGTTCACTACTGACCTTTCATGGAAACCATATATATAATCAATTGCCAAGATAGCATCTGCTAAGGATGTTTCTCTTTATTGTGCTCACCATTTTCTTACTTGTGATTCCATTCTCTACCTCAAATCTCTTATTGGTCCCTGTATGGAATACTGTTTTCCTTCTAGACAAGGTCCAAAAACACAATGTAAACAATCTGCCAAGCTTGAGCCTCTCTCCA